GGAACTAGAATCTGAACTAGAACTGCACTAGAACTGAACTAGAAACTGACTAGAACTGAACTAGAAACTGACTAGAACTGAACTAGAACTGCACTAGAACTGCCCACTAGAAACTGAAGCTGAACTGAACTAGGAACTAGACTGAAATTTGCAGAACTAGAACTGAAATCTAGAACTGAACTAGAACTGAACTAGAAACTGAACTAGACTGAACTAGAACCCTGACTAGAAAGAACTAGCACTGACTAGGACGGAACTAGAACTGAACTAGACTGCAAACTAGAACTGAACTAGAACTGAACTAGACTGAACTAGAACTGAGACTAGACACTAGAATCTAGAACTGAACTAGAACTAGAACTGAACTAGAACTGAACTAGAACTGAACTAGAACTGAACTAGACTGAACTAAAACTGAACTAGAACTGAACTTGAACTGAACTAGAACTGAACTAGAACTGAACTAAAACTGAACTAGAACTGAACTAGAACTGCCACTAGAACTGAACTAAAACTGAACTAGAACTGAACTAGAACTGAACTAGAACTGAACTAGAACTGCACTAGAACTGAACTAAAACTGAACTAGAACTGAACTAGAACTGAACTAGAACTGAACTAGAACTGAACTAGAACTGAACTAGAACTGAACTAGAACTGCACTAGAACTGAACTAGAACTGAATTAGAACTGAACTAAAGATGAACTAGAACTGAAAATTCTTGAAAGAATTAAGCACGAGCTTGTCAAATTTTTTCTAAAAATGTACTGGATTAAGCTTATATTTATTTCCTACCTCTTTTTGTCACACCCTTTATATTTTGTTTCGCCCATATTACAGCTACCGATACTCCAAAATAATTTATGCTTTTTTATGAATATTAGAAATACCCAGATATAACCTGTAGTTTGTAGGCTTAATTACTAATAATAACAAAATATTAGAAAAAAAAACAAATGATGCAAATATAATAAATAAACCTAATAATTAATGTTAATGCCCTTTATTTATTAATTAATAACAGTAGTAATATTAATGCAGCAAAAATACAAGATTTTTATCACAAACAAATTAATATTTATTATATTTAATATCGAGGCAGATAACATTGAGCCAGAGAGTCAGGTTTCAAACATAAAACACCGAGATGAAGAAGTAAAATTATAAATGAAAAGCATAAAGTCGAATTAAATGCTATAAATGTGTCTAATTGGTCAAATGATAATAAAAAACAATTAGTGTTAATCAAATACTGGAGGCTAAAAAAAATTAACTCTTTATTAGATTAGTGTAAGGAGAGCCCCGACCTTGAGCATGTCGATTGGTTTTATGTGATCTAAATATTATCCATTAATAAAAAGTGTGTCGAAAATAATGGTTTCTGATCAAAGTTTCGCTATTTTTAGATAATTTTGATAGATTTGATTTGAACAACCTCAACTAAAACCGACCTAGAACTGAACTAGAACTGAACTAGAACTGAATTAGAACTGAACTAGAACTGAACTAGAACTGAACTAGAACTGAACTAGAACTGAACTAGAACTGAACTAGAACTGAACTAGAACTGAACTAGAACCTGAACTAGAACTGAACTAGAACTGAAACTAGAAACTGAACTAGAACGGAACGAGAACTGAACTAGAACTGAACTAGAACTGAACAGAACTGAACGGAACTGAACTAGAACTGAACTAGAATTGCTGAACTAGAACGGAACAGAACTGAACTAGATGAACTGAACCTAGAACTGAACTAGAACTGAACTAGAAACTGAACTAAACTGAACTAGAATGAACTAGAACTGAACTAGAACTGAACTAGAACTGAACTAGAACTGAACTAAGAACTGAACTAGAACTGAACTAGAACTGAACTAGAACTGAATAGAACTGAACTAGAACTGAACTAGAACTGAACTAGATCTGAACTAGAACTGAACTAGAACTGAACTAGAACTGAACTAGATCTGAACTAGAACTGAACTAGAACTGAACTAGAACTGAATTAGAACTGAACTAGAACTGAACTAGAACTGAACTAGAATCTGAACTAGAACTGAACTAGAACTGAACTAGAACTGAACTAGAACTGAACTAGAACTGAACTAGAACTAGAACTGAACTAGAACTGAACTAGAACTGAACTAGAACTGAACTAGAACTGAACTAGAACTGAACTAGAACTGAACTAGAACTGAACTAGAACTGAACTAGAACTGAACATAGAACTGAACTAGAACTGAACTAGAACTGAACTAGAACTGAACTAGAACTGAACTAGAACTGAACTAGAACTGAACTAGAACTGAACTAGAACTGAACTATGAACTAGAACTGAACTAGAACTGAACTAGAACTGAACTAGAACTGAACTAGAACTGAACTAGAACTGAACTAAACTGAACTAGAACTGAACTAGAATCTGAAGCTAGAAACTGAACTAGAACTGAACTAGAACTGAACTAGAGAACTGAACTAGAACTTGAACTAGAACTGGAACTAGAAAGAACTAGACTGAACTAGAACTGAACTAGAACTGAACTAGAACTGAACTAGAACTGAACTAGAACTGAAACTAGAACTGAATAGAACTGAACTAGAACTGAACTAGAACTGACTAGAACTGAAACTAGAACTGAACTGGAACTGAACTGGAACTGAACTAGAACTGAATTAGAACTGAATTAGAATTGAATTAGAACTGAACTAGGACTGAACTAGAACTGAACTAGAACTGAACTAGAACTGAATTAGAACTGAATTAGATGAATTAGAACTGAGAACTGAACTAGAACTGAACTAGAACTGAACTAGAACTGAACTAGAACTGAACTAGAACTGAACTAGAACTGAACTAGAACTGAACTAGAACTGAACTAGAACTGAACTAGAACTGAACTAGAACTGAACTAGAACTGAACTAGAACTGAACTAGAACTGAACTAGAACTGAACTAGAACTGAACTAGAACTGAACTAGAACTGAACTAGAACTGAACTAGAACTGAACTAGAACTGAACTAGAACTGAACTAGAACTGAACTAGAACTGAACTAGAACTGAACTAGAACTGAACTAGAACTGAACTAGAACTGAACTAGAACTGAACTAGAACTGAACTAGAACTGAACTAGAACTGAACTAGAACTGAACTAGAACTGAACTAGAACTGAACTAGAACTGAACTAGAACTGAACTAGAACTGAACTAGAACTGAACTAGAACTGAACTAGAACTGAACTAGAACTGAACTAGAACTGAACTAGAACTGAACTAGAACTACAACTAGAACTGAACTAGACTGAACTAGAACTGAACTAGAACTGAACTAGAACTGAACTAGAACTGAACTAGAACTGAATTAGAACTGAATTAGAACTGAACTACAACTGAACTGGAACTGGAACTGAACTAGAACTGAACTAGAACTAGTTAGATTTCCATATACATACGTATTTATTTTAGGTCAACCGGGACATTAAGCTAAGGAGAATTAACCCACGGTCTGACCAATTTCCCGCAGTAGCTAACCTTGGCTGTGGTAACTTCAGGGTATACGATATGACTGTAGTTGAAACTTAAATAACGAGAAAAGAATGCTGGATAAAAGTCTGATATATTTAATTGCTGTAACAGAATTAGTCTTTAGATTCTGTTGACATGAGACACCAGATGAACTCCCGTTCTCCCGATGTCAATGAATGTCTATTCCGGACTGGGAAATGTCTTTCAGAAGATATATGAAACTGATGACAAGAAGACTAGTGGGATACCTTATGTATTTCGGTAATGTCTTTGGTGCTATTGCCATCTAAACAGTCATATCAGCGATCTGGATATGCGAGTGTCTAGGAATTGATATATTCAATGACTGCCACGCTATGTCGCAGATTACTCTGGTGAATGTCCGTCATTTTTTAACTGGACTATGGCCCAAATATTAGATAGTACTGAAGCAATGTGCTTGTACTTGATCCAGCGTGAGTTAACGCCGACTCTACTCTTAAACATTATCTGTTTAACACGTTATTTTAGAGAAAAGAAGTTAAGGAATGTACATTTTCTTCCTTCTGTAAAATAAAGAATAGATTTTAAAAACAACAAATTTGAAATAAAACTAAAATCTTACTCTTATTCATGCTCTTGAAAAAGACTTAAACTTGCAAACGTCAAATTTCAAATAAACTTAAAAATCCCACATCTCTGCACACAGGTTTCTACATTAATTTCTAATTATGCCAATAATTTATTTAACAAGTTTGTAAATATTTATTTTTTTTATCATACCACGAAGTCATTAACATTTTTGATTAATTTTCGAATTTAGTACCTACAACAATTTACGTGTTGTTTAACCTACATGATTTTTAAAAATTTATAACAAACATTTAAGATCGTTTAAATGTTGTTATTATATATCTAGAATTTACAACAATAATACATTTAAATAAAACCTCAAATTGGACTTGACATTGAAACAAAAACAGAAACAGTATCTTTGGCAGACATTTTAGAGTCGATAAAGCCGGTAAAGCCTAGACATGACTTCTTAGACATACACACTACCAGCTAGATTACAATGAGATTAATGACCGAAACTGTGTGTTTGTGTGTTTTTACTATTAACTGCAGATATTAAAACAAAAAAAATATCATTTCAGTTAATTCTCTTTTGATCAATTCAAAACTGGTTCCGCTGTGTACCAACAATTTCTGATCAACTACCAAACACTGTGATGGACATTGCAAAATCATGAATATTTGATTGAAAATGTCTTCTTTTTTTGTTTTTGGCTAGAAGACAAAAATGCACAGCCGATCTTCATCATATGTATTTGCTCTTAAAAGCATACTTTAAGAGAGTATATGTTAAGTTTAAGTATGATTTTTAATATCTGTGTTTAATATTAATATCTTTGAGATTTTTATTAATTAAAATTTTTGGCTAAAGAATTGTAAAGATTCACGTATAAATATTCAACTTTATTGGATAAATATCATCATTCACAGCTCTACTGTAGAAGTGATATCAACTTATCAAAAACCCAAATCGGACAAATACATAACAATGGTAAGTTTACTTTGAGGTTTAACATAACGAGAGGTCTACAAATGTTTCAGCCTAATTTGGATTACTAGAGGCAACATTTGGTAGCTGTAAAATCTCGTTTAATGGAACTACCGGTCTTTTGGAATAAGAGTAATAAAGTTGGTTTATTTTCCTTTTTAGAAATTCTTCATTATTGCTGTTTGTGCTATAGCAGCCGTATCGGCTGATGTTTCTCATTTGACTGGTCAGGGTTATAATTACGATAAACCCTCTACCGTCTTTGATGTACCACACTTGTCGTCTTCTGCTCCCTCTAATGAATACTTGCCACCTCAGCCTCAATATTCTGCACCAGCTCCAGTTCATCATCAAGAATTGTCAGCCCCAATTCCAGCTCCTGCTCCCTCCAACGAATACTTGCCACCTCAACATCATCACTCTGCTCCTTCCAATGAATACTTGCCTCCTCAGCCTCAATACTCTGCTCCCGCTCCAGTTCATCATCAAGAACTTTCGGCTCCTATTCCAGCCCCAGCCCCCTCTAATGAATACTTGCCTCCTCAACCTCAATACTCTGCTCCTGCACCCGTTTACCAACAACAACAATCTGCCCCAGCTCCTTCCAATGAATACTTGCCTCCTCAGCCTCAATATTCTGCACCAGCTCCAGTTCATCATCAAGAATTGTCAGCTCCAATTCCAGCTCCTGCTCCCTCCAACGAATACTTACCTCCTCAACCCCAATACAATGCACAAGCTTCTGGTAGCCACCAACATCATCACTCTGCCCCCTCCAACGAATACTTGCCTCCTCAACCACAATACTCTGCTCCCGCCCCTGTCTACCAACAACAACAATCTGCCCCAGCTCCCTCCAATGAATACTTGCCTCCTCAGCCTCAATATTCTGCACCAGCTCCAGTTCATCATCAAGAATTGTCTGCCCCAATTCCAGCTCCTGCTCCCTCCAACCAATACTTGCCTCCTCAGCCTCAATACTCTGCTCCCGCCCCCGTCTACCAAGCACAACAATCAGCCCCTGCACCCACCAACGAATACTTGCCCCCAGTCAATCAACCCCAACATCATGAACACCATCACGAACAACACCATCATCATGAATCTCAAAGCCAAGCTGGTGGCTATCATTATGATGCTCCTGCTAGACGTATCCGTTATCGTTACCGTTACCGCAACTAGGTCTTCGCGAAAATCGTTCGAAAAGTCAGCGTTACTTGTTAAATTAACAAGTTATTATAAGTATTGTTTGTTATGAATATTGACTATGTTCGTTTTATGATAAGTTTTAGTACAATTTAATAAAAATTAAATAATTTTGTTATAAAAAAATCAAAAAACTATTTTTAATTTAAAAACTCTTCAAACCAAAGTAAAGGATGAAGGAACAAGGAAAAAACTCTCTAACATTAAACAGTTATAAACTGAACAAAAAATGTTTCCTATGTTTGCTCTTCTTTGACTACCATTCGCCAGTGAATTGCATAGTAAATACACAGAGGAAAAAAATATACACGCCTGGTACCAAATTGACACCAAATTTTTCAATAACATACGTTGTCAAGTATATACATACATATATAAAACAACATGTAATATAGACCACGCAACTTTGTCAACATTGCAACAATTCGTTGTCGCAATCAAAACTTTATGCACATCCGTTGTATAAAAGTTAACAAACGTGATACGATCAAAATGCGTTGTAAATTTAGTCTCTAATAGGTTTTCCATTATAAAACAGGTTCCCCAAACTGCAGGGTTTACTACCACTATTTTTCACCCAATTTCAAAGTATAATTTGTCAAATATAGTTCAAATGCGGCAAATTTCATTTAGTAGAACTAAATTGTTAACAACACATTGATTGTCTTGACAAATTATTCAATATAATAAATAAAAACACAAAATAAATAATAAACAGTCGGTAAAGATTTCTTTTCAAATGTAAATATAATAAAATGGTGACAATAAACAAAGACGCTAAAATCACTGCGGCACCAAACCCCTAAAATGATCATTGGGTCACAAAATACTGTAGAAACACATGTTAAAATTGATTTCTTTACAAATTTTTTATTTGTTTAAATTTCAATTTATTTTATGTGAATTTGAATGAATACGTTTTTAAAACATTTGTTTAAAGATTTTTAAGATGTTGATTGAATTGTGTCCAAAATTCAAAGATAAATCAAAAGATGCGAATTAATTGTGTTAAATTTTAAATGTTTATAAAAGATTACCATCTATAAAACATTGCTTTTTTTGCGCAAAATAATGGAAACTTTTGAATACAATAAAAATACCCAACAAACACTTTACCAAAAGGTTATAAAATGTTTATTATTATCATTCGATAACGACAAAATTTTAAAAAAGTCGAGACCCTGATACCAAGTTTCACTTTTCTAAAGGATTGAGTCGCGCTGAATTCGAATCACATCTTGAATTTGAGATATCATGTCCTGAGTCGTTATATCAAGGCCAAGAAATTTGTTTTTATAAAATGCTATAGAAAGTCCATTTTGTCAAGGGCTTAACATCTGACATATCTTCGTACTTCTTCGAAATATCTTCATGCCAGATGTGATAGAGATATTCTGATGTCAGATTCGGATGCAGCGCAGTGAAATGCTTCAAAATTCAATATTTTTCAATTGAAATCGAAGTTAATTCTCTATTAATTTTCAAACCTGTAAATAATCTTTGAGTTTCCTGGACATAGTTCCTGAAAATTTTATAATCAATGTTCCAGAGGGATATAATATCTGAAATAACATCTCTCCTAGGATCTAAAAGAAGCCTGTCAGGGACAGAGAAAGTGTTTCAGCGTTTCACTCTCCTATCCACATGATCTACATTCGTCTGAATCTACTCGCACTAAGATTATGTATAATAATACTGACAACGGACTTATTCACTGTGAGGAAGTTACTTGTTCTACTCTCGTTGGGATCAGACCATAGGATTTTAGTCGTCCTAACCACCATTCCATTATTGAAACTGATCGTATGGCATCTCTCGCCCATGTTTCTAATTCGAATTTCGTTTCGACTTTAGTCAGGTAAACTTCCTTAAACTCCCTTCTTTTTATAGCAAATTCATTCGCACTTTCATTAGCGATTATTCCCGATTGGCCTGATGCAGAGCTTACTAGTACTAGGTTAGAGATCTCTAATAGTTCAATACGGTTTTGAATCCCCGGGGGCATGTTACCTTGATGAATCTTCCCTCATCTTGGTGTGATTACAATCCGAGGGAAAATATAGGGAACTATAAACTGGTGTTGATCAAATATATCCTCGGTCTTTCCTTGGAATGATTTGACATGGGAACCGGTAGACGACTGGGCAGAGTTTCGGACGTTTTCCTGTCCCGGTAATTAGAGAGGTACCTTCGTGGTGGCTGTGGTTTAAACCCAAATTCGCGGAAATAAAATGTTGGTTAAAAGACTGACACAACAGATACCCACAGAGGAGGGACAGTGGGAATGCTGGCGGATGTAAGTGATACCATTGAATTTTCCTTCCTCGTCGGCGTATGTTCAGGGCTCACTCTGTTCATAACAGAGTAAGAACTACTCCTGGTTTCTTATTTCGGTCTCTTCATAGGTGCTGTTGCCGACTAAACAGATGACATCTCATCTGCGTGATTGCAACTCGGAAGTTAAGCAACGAATCAGCAATGGGCAGAAATTAGTTAGCATGAGTACTTGAGTAAAGTGCTTGTAGATGGACCGGTAAAACTATGTACAAAAATTGCCACCGGCGTGTAAGAAGCAGAAAAGGCAGGTGGTGAGTCGTTATCCTGTGGTTGTAAAAGTACCACCGTGAAATAAGACACCAGGTCAGGTGTTCATTTAAAGCACTTCGACTTCTTATCAGGTGATATCGCCCTAATTGACTTCTGGCTGTCATATCCAATCTAATCCATTTTAAACATTCCGTGATAGAACGGTCTTCTGTCTAGAATCTAGTTTTCTGATTAGAAAGTCTGTAGTATGTTTAGGGTTTTGATTATAGATTCTCAGACCAGTTTTGTCTCCCGGTTCAGAGCCATCAGTGTATATCTAATCTTTTTCTTGTTACAATCCTCTATTTGGCAAAAATTTCAGTTTCAAGAATGTTATCGTACCCTTCTGGTATTTGTGTATAATCTTTCCATACGCATACATATTGATAACTAAGTAGTTTCGTAACTTTGGTCAATTCGCCTTATGATAAAAGCAGTTCGACTTTGAAGGCCGCCTCATATCTTACATAGTACGTTTCGATCGGAGCATTGTCCAGCTATGTTTATAAAACTTTGATCGACGTTGTGTTCACACTTTTGGTTCATAAATCCAATGTTATAGTTGCACTATTGGTTAAAATATGAGGATCAGAAATTGTGCTACTCACAGACTATAAATAGAGTTGTTTAGGTAACGTACATAATATTATAGTTGTCATTATCTTTAGTATATCCAAAAAGTTGTCCGAAAGGTTCTTCAAATGTACGAGATATTACATCAGAAGAAGTTATCCAACATTCACTGGTTTTTGTGTTAGAATGACTTCTTCGATGACATCACAATTTCATAATTAGAAAATATTTTTCGTCGTACCTATCTCTTCAAGGCAAAGAACAAAGTTTCTTCATCCATTCCCCAAGAGCTTCCGACTTACGCCACCTTATTGCAATTGCTCTCTCTCTAAACTCCACCTGTAGTCACTCTGATAATTCCCGATAGAAATTAAATATTAGTTTTAATTTTTTATTTTTATTATTGTTTTTTTTATAATTTAAATGCACATATTTAATACATTCCAATAAACTTACAATATATTTGCCTCTGGCCAATTGGTCATTGCTTGATTAAGTTGTGTCATTCGCCCTGGGGCGCCAGATATAAACGAATTATGTATTACAGAAGTTGTCGTATAATTAAACTTGTCACTATACATAAACAATATTGTATCATATTTAATTAATTTCTATGAATACATTAAGCTAGGCATTGAAAACTCGAACGGTTCAAATGTTTTTTTAAAATTTGGTTGAACTTCTTAGGAATTAAATTGTATTGAGATGAGTAAGAAAGAAAGTTTTAAAATTATATCTATATAATTAATAGGCAAGATGATTTTTTGTGACCCCTTTTACTCTTACAGTATACATCTGATCTTGCCAAAAAATATATCATTTTAAAGGTACTTGTACTTATTAATAGTTCTGTTCCATTTTTAACAGACAATGTAATCGAGATCACTCGCTTCCTGTACTTGTATTTTTCTCAGTAGTTAAAGTTATTGATCTTCCAAGTTACATAATATAGCGATCAGTAAGTGACTAGTTATAGTTTTCATATCTCTTAAAGACAACCTCAGCCATTACTAAAACAAACGACTCTATATAGTATTCAAAAATCTATCTTTCTATAATACGATCAGTTCATTTGACGATCACTTTATTAGAGTTTGATATTTATTGGAATTTAGCAATCTCCTCTAGTAATCTGTCAACAATAAAACAGATCGTGTTTATGTTAAAAAAAAAACTTCCAATTTTTCAGTAGCGATCAGTTCAACTGAGGATCACTTCATTAGAGTTAGTTTTTTATTGGAGTTCGAAAACTATTAAACTGATCATTATTATTATCTAACTTCTTACTTAATATGAAGTAAGCTAAAAATTCGTCATTGCTGGTGATCGACTAATGATCCCCAGTTAAAGAAAAGTTTATTAAATACTGTTGTAAAGTATACGTTAAGGCTCTTGATTAAAATATCTCCCTTTGCTTTACAATTAATATTATTTTTTAAAGTTTTGTGTCGACTACAATTTTTTAATGCTGGTTTCCAACACATCTATGATAAAAATAAGCAACGAGGCCAATTCTATAAGGTTTTCGAAAACATAGTAACATGTATAGTTTGAGCTCTAACTAGAATAAGAAAGTTATCGGATGTGAATAACGTAAATGAGTCATGTGTGTTAGACAATGATATAAACCATAAAAGAGGAGTTTTAAATACTACGAAATTCTTAGATCACAATACAAAACAAGCTATTTTCGGTAGAAGGCTTTGTTAAGAAGCCCTAGTCTCTAATGGATCGAACTCTGCAGAGTATTTTTTTATCTTAATTTAGGAATGGGGACTAATATGGGTATTAGGATCAAATGTCTGATTTAATTCTCATCAAACTTAACTTTTGCCAAATTTGATAATGATTATCTGAGACCCATTTCAAACAGCCTTTGCCTTTGAGTCCAAAAACATACGAACGGACGGACATGGTTTAATTGAAAAAGAAGGTGATCTGAAACGTTTGCTTTTACTGATTCTGAAGCGATTTGTTTGAGCATCAGCACAATATAATCTCATCTTTCACGTGAAGACAAATCTAACAGTGTTCCAAATTTCAGGAACATTTGTTCAGTAATTTTTGTATCCCTAGAGGTTTAATGTCCAATTTGATACTCACCAAACTTAACTTTTGCCAAATTTTATCATGATTTTCCGAGATCCATTTCTAATAGGCTTTATCTTTGGGTCAAAAAGCAGACGAACGGACGGACATGGTTTAATCGAAAAAGAAAGTGATTCTGATGAGTTTGATTTAACTGATTCTGAAGCGATATGTTTAAGCATCGGCACAATATAATCTCAACTTTTACGCGAAGACAAATCGAGCAGTGTGCCAAATTTCGGGAACATTGGTTAAGTAATTTTTGTATCCATAGGGGTTTAATGTCCGTTTTCATACTCACCAAACTTAACTTTTTTCCGAATTTTATAATGATTTTTCCGAGATCTATTTTAAATAGGCTTTGTCTTTGGGTCAAAAAGCAGTCGAACGTACGGACATGGTTTTAATCGAAACAGAAAGTGATTCTGAAGAGTTTGATTTGACTGATTCTGAAGCGATTAGTTTAAGCATCGGCATAATATAATCTCATTTTTCACCAAAAGACAAATCTAGCAGTATGCTAAATTTCAGGAACATTGGTTCAGTAATTTTTGTGTCCCTAGGGTTTAAACTTAAAAGAATGATTTCTAGGAATTTAAAACTAACTTTTGCCAACTTATATTACGATTTTGCGATATCAATTTCCAAGCAGAGTTAAATTTCATGTAAATTGATTTAAAAGTTATTAACTGGTGTTAAAGCGATAAAAGTGGGCGTTAAATTAGTCCGTCCAAAAGACATTCAATCTAGTATAACATAATCTTTATTGCGTGGATAGGCCTAACTATCAGTGCTCTAGAGAATATCCAATGATCCAGATTTAAGTATAATTAGTTACGTACATGGTTTGTTTATGTATTGAGTGACAATTTTAATTAAAATCGCTTGACCAAAAGTTGTAAAAAGAGGCGGGGCAACCAACCAAGCTCTATTATATCCCTTTTTTAATTATAAACCTATAAATTTTCTAAATTTTGTAACTGTTTGAGTAGAATTGTATTATAACTGTTAAACAAAAAGTGGGCGTTAAAGGAGGCGTGAGATTCCAGCATAGCTACTATTTTACAGAGAATAAACCTGTTTTTGATTGTCTTTATTCAGCTGAGCTCTTACTAAAGACAGCTTTGATAGCTCAGAGCTAGAAAGAAGAATCATGTCTCGGCATTTGCGAGACCTAAACACGACTTCAGTCACCGATTACTGATCTAATGGGTATACTCTGGGAACGTAAATGCCAAACGAATGTTCAATTACAGCATTTTAAGTTTAAGCGCAACCAGGCTTTAACTAAATAAGGGTCCATGAAGATGCTCTACAAAATAGAACAACTTTAAGATCCTTTTATTTTGATCTGATATTGTTTTGAAATCCGTTAAATCCCTTAACTAAATATCCTTGTTCATATATCTGTCTGCTGAATGTACGATAGGGTTCATAAGGAGGAGTTAAATGGTTCAGATTCATTATAAAGACCTATAAAATAACATATATTCTGGGTCCTTATTAGATTCTAAGACGATCTATTTATGTCCGTTAGGCTTTAACTAAATTAGGGTCCATGAAGATACTCTACAAAATAGAATAACTTCATGATCCGTTTTTTTTTTTTTTTTGATCTGATATAGTTTTGAAATCGGTTAAACCCCTTAACTAAATGTCTTTGTTCTTATATCTGTCTGCTGAATGTACGATAGGGCGCCCATAAGGAGGAGTTAGATGGTTCAGATTCATTCTAAAGACCTATAAAATAACATATATTCCTGGTCCTTATTAGATTCTAAGACGATCTATTTATGTCCGTTAGGCTTTAACAAAATTAGGGTCCATGAAGATACTCTACAAAATAGAATAACTTCATGATCCGTTTTTTTTTTTTGATCTGATATAGTTTTGAAATCGGTTAAACCCCTTAACTAAATGTCTTTGTTCTTATATCTGTCTGCTGAATGTACGATAGGGCGCCCATGAGAAGGAGTTAGATAGTTCAGATTCATTCTAAAGACGTACCAAATAACATATAATCTGGGTCCTTAATAAATTCTAAAACGATCTATTTATATCCTTCCATTCGTGTATCTATATCTCACAAAGGAGAAATTAGAAGGCTAAACATTTTCATAAATATTCAGCAAAACTATGTTGAAATTTATTACCAAGAGAGGATCTTTGATCAGCAGCAAAATGATCAGTTGTGGGGCAAGTTTCGATCAATAGTTTTTTACGTACTCAGTAAGATTCGAGAATTTAAAAAACTAAAGAAACTCTCCTAAACAAAATAACATAAAAAGTGTGTAAATAAATTTATTGATCATTAATATTATGCGAAAAAACTTTAAAAACACCTTTTAAAAGCTTTTTTGCGTAATTTATTAGAACAACTTTTTAAAGTTTTATGAATATTAATATGATATAAATACAGTTTACTTTCAAATTTTCAGAGCATAACGGTAGATTCATAAGACACTAACTGTTAGAAATTTAACAAATGTTTTAATAAAATTAACAAATTATTTTCAACACTAAATGATAAAAATATTTAAATTTTCAACTTCTTGAGCGAAATAGAGTTATATATTTAATAACATTTGACCCCCCTAGCGCTATAGATGACCTTGAGAAACTCTGTACTAGTATCATCTGCTTTTGTATTGGGCCCTCTTCTTTTTCTCCTTTATCCATAACTATTGTTAGTTTTTTTTTTTAAGTTATTTTTAGTAAACTCTCTGCTCATTATTGTCTTAAGAATTTAAAAAACAAAGTAAAGAAACCAATAAAAAAAAGCTCTATATTAAAGTGAACTACAAAAATTAGCTACAATTTGAAACCAATTAATTTCGAATTCATATAAATACGTTAAGATTTTGTTAAAACAAAATCAGTTAAAATTTAAAACGTTTCAAAATAAATTTTATTTTCAAAGAAAATCTATAACCCAAACTAACAACGTTTGCTGACAAAAAGAATATAAATAATGGTAAAAACTATTTATTAATTTATGTTAATTAACAAATTTATGGCTAAATCTTATATTCAAACATATGTTCGCTTTTGTTTTCAGTTTGTTCGTTTACTGCTACTGACATTGCTGTTGGCCCATCACAGTTTAGCCGATATTTCTGAACTTGTACAATCGGGCAATGGTTTCCTCTATGATGCTCCCTTAACCTCCAATCTACCCTTAGCTCCCTTGGATCTAACCAATGATGAACAGACACATAAAGCTTTTGGTGATTCAACAATGAAAACAGCCCTCAAAACAAGTGTCGAAGTAGATATTGTACCCTCAGTGGCTACGGCAGCCTCCCTAAAAACCCACTTTACTGTACCATTACCTAAAAAATTAAATAACCATTCCTCCCCGCCACATGGCTCTTCTTCAACGTTGAGAAGTAAAATTCCCCTACCTGTAGCTGTTAGTAAAAAATCAGGTTATAATTATATGGCTCCTCTTAAACCTTTTTTTATTGCTTAAATAATTGGTTTTAATTGTTGATATTTTAAGGTTTTTGACTTCATTATTTTTGTAGTATTTTTACACTTAACGCAGAAAAGGTGTTAATTATTCGCGTGTCTGCTTTTTTTTCTATGCTGCTGCGGAAATTTTTACACCTGAGTCTTGTTAGACGCCTTTAAACGTGATTAATTTTAATTTTAAGACTCGATTTTATATTTTAAGTTTATTTTTGTATAAGAGAACTCGCATTAGTACTTTAGTTTAAATATATCTTTGAGGTATTTATTTTGATGAAATAATAAAAAATCTACTTTATAAATGATTTTAAATCATTAATTTGATTTAATAAAAATCTTCTTAATCTAAGCTTACATAAGAAAATAGGTAAAATTATATAGCTCAGTGATCTTTACACAGCCTGGTCCTTAGGTCTGGGGCTTTAGCAAAGCTTTACAATTTTCACTAGCATTTTATCACTTACATGCATACATTTTCAATATAAACAAGTGAGAGGTTATATTCGGCTGCGCCGAATTATGGACCGATCCACATAAAATTTGATAGAGAGTTTTTGTATCGCATGGAACTTAAATGTGTCGAATTTCATCGCTTTACTCTTATTTTTAAGACAGTAATTAGCGTTAAAGTCATTTTCTGAAAGGTACCTTATATGGGCGGTAGGGTCAATTATGGACCGATCTACATAAAATTTGTAAGAGAGATTTTGGCTCGTAAGAGACTTATGTCGAATTTCATTGCTTTATTCGTATTTTTAAGCTAGTAATGGCGTTAAAGTCATTTTTTGAAGGGGACCTTATATGGGGGATAGGGTCAATTATGGACCGATCCACATAAAATTTTGTTGGGAGATTTTTGTAGTATAATCATAATAAACTTATTTATGTCGAATTTCATCGCTATACTCGTACTTTTAAAACAGATATGCCCGTTAATGCTGTTTTTCGGGAGTTCACTTGAATGAGGGCTATCCGAAAACGTGGGTCGATATTGCCCAATTTCTATACCAAACACCTATAGAGAATTTTTGCGGAAAATTTTAACCCTCTAGCTCATTCCGTTCGGACTCTATCGTGCTTTCAACAGACAGACAGACGGACATGAATATATATACTTTTGTGGGTCTATGACCAATACTTCGATGTGTTACATCTTTTTTGATGGTGGGTATAAAACGTAGAGTATTATGTTCTTATAGGGCTCATATGAAGAAGGAAGTAAATTCCCTCTCTTGGCTCTAGCATGGCATCAATCCGTTACAACTACACCACATAAGTTGATAACAATGTCAAGGGCAATGCTTAAGCATTCCCAAGCTCTAATAACTCACTCAAGGTATTGTTACAATACTAGTTTGCCTTGCCTAGCGCACTACAAGGGGAGTTTCCATGAAACTTATAAAGCATAGGTTACACGTCCATAGTTCTGGAAGAAAGATCTGTCACGGAATGCTAAACCATAACAAGTATTAACCTGACCATAACAAATATCATTTGTTGAGACGACAACAGCAGCGAACGACTCTCCTAAAATACATAGTATTTATAATTTAAACTAAAATCATTTTTCCCTGATTTGCCTTTCAATCAAAAAGCACCTAGAAGGGGCCTCACCAATAATCAGAATAGAAAAAGTCCTGCGGGCGACTAATTCCCATGGTAGCAAATAACTGTAATTACAATGGAAAGACTGTCAATGGAAACTCCTTTAATAGTTTTTAAGATGATCTTGCCATGTCCATCTGACAGTTGAAAATATGATAGATCCCAAACGGGGAGAGCTATTGGTCTGATTGATAAAATTTTTGAAAATTGTAATTAAATTATATGGTCGAGTATATTGTCCAATTTTTTTATTTTTCATAAAGAAACTTTTATGTTGAATTTTACCTTAATTCCGATGTATTTAAGCCATTTATTGATGAAAAACTAAATTTCTAAAAGAGGCTTTATATAGGAGTTAGGGTCAAATATGGATCGATCCTCAAGAAATTGGTAGGAGGGATGTATTTTTATATAAAGGTTAGTTATGCTGAATTTCATTGCGATACTAATGTTTAGAAGTAAATTTTTGCCCGTTCAAGATATTTTTAAAGGGGCGTTTGTATGGGGGCTAGGGTCAAACGACGGCCGATCATTACAAAAACGGCATGATCATTTCTGCCTATATAGAACTTTGTTGTGCCAATAGTAGAATATTTGACGTAGGTATGAGTTAAAATCCCCAAATCGGAAGGTCAGGTTGAATTGGGGGTTAGGTGAAATAATGGACCGATTTCAACCATTTTCAATAGGCATCGTCCTTATCAAAATATCATGAAAATTGTGGCCTATAGCTTGCGCACAAGGTTTACATAGACAGCCAGCCAGACGGACGATCGCTATACTTTTAGGTGGGTGTACGACCAATATTTTTGTGCCTTACAAACATCAGCATAAACGCATAATACCCTCCCCACTACTTATTGTGGTGTAGGGTATAATTGTATTGTGATTATGTTAAAAATGTTGATTATTTTTTAATAATAAAGTATTTAATTTCATTTTGACCTACGTTAAGAAATATTTTAACAATTTGTTCATAAAAAAGGGATTTTCTAAAAGAGGGGTTACCTATGTGGGGGGCAGAGGGTTAATATGGTCATATCCTTTTCCATTATTGTAGAGTTACTTACGTCTACATTAAAGTTATTTATGCAGAATATCATAGGGATATTAGTGTTTATAAGTAAATGTTGGGCATAAAGTCTTTTTCTGAAGGAAACTTTGTATCGAGGATAGGGTCAAATGAGGCCCGATCATAACGAAAATCAGCAATATCATTAAGACTTATATAAAACTAAATTTTGCCGGTTTTTGGAGAGATACAAGAACATTTAACATATTTATGAGCTCAAAAGCCCTATTTGGGGGGTACGGTTGTATGGGATCTATACGAAATAATGGACCGATTTTAACCACTTTTAATAGACTTCCTTGGGTCAAAGGAAGAGTATGTGCCAAATTTCATCTAATTGCCTTGAAAATTGCGGCCTGTAGAGTGCGCACAAGATTTACATGGACACACAGATGTACAGATAGACAGACGGACAGACAGACAGACAGAGAGACGGAAGGACGGACTTCTGAACCGATTGGTATAATTTAAGGTGTAGGACCAATATTTGTTGATGTTACAAACATCAGCACAAACGCATAATAGCCTTCCCACTATAGTGGTGTAGGGTATAAATATTATTCTATTTACTTGATGTAAAATGCAGAGGATTATGTCAGCTAAACATTCCATTAACAGACTACTGGTTTTAAAAAGAATCTGCAGAATACTACATATAAGTCAACAATATTTCAAACAAATTGTTTTCTCTTCCCACCATACTCCCAACATATCAAGTAGAGATATAAATCTCATGATTGCTTTCTGTTTTCTAAATTTTTATTCTAAAAGATTTGTGATAGAAGATTAAAATAAAATTAATTATTCAACATTAATTAAAAGATGAAATAAAATTGAAAGTAGTTTATCTATTTTCTGTTGTTGTTATGTCAATTCGCTTGCTAGAGGTAAACATTTTAGAGCAAACGTATGTACATATAATTTTTTCATTCTAAGCACCATAGTGCGGGGGTGAATGACTCCATAAAATGTTAAAATGAAATAAAAAAATTTCGATTTATTTGGGATGTTTATGAAGTAAAAATAATTAATACACAATTTAATAGACTTTGACTGAAAATAATTAATGATGATAGAAATAATTGAAAAATGACCATGATATTAAAATATGTTGTTAACAATTAGTGTTTTTTTTTTTTTTTTTTTGAGGAAAAATATGACAAGTTATTTTAAATAGCTTCTGGTTTGTTTCATACCATTTGACTTTATAAAGGTGCTGGCTGTAGGGTATTAAAGCATAATTACATAATATTAATTTGCAAGCCAATAAATTATATCCAGAACTACATTTATGCATTTTAAAAAGTTGTTTTAAATAGTTAAACAAATTAAGTGTTTATTTTGACGTTTCTTTAAAAAAAATACAAATTAAGAAATTATGCATGAATTAACTGTCACCACAATGAAAGAAGAGAGATGAGAGAGAGAGGAACCGATCGATAGTCCAAATAAAGAAGATCGAATTTAAATCAAAATACATAACTTTCAAATGTTAATAAATACAAATCAGTAGATTAAATCTTTACAGTTTTTTCTTGTTATACCTATCTTCATACCCTACACTTTCGTGACAATGGTATGAATCCGAAGTGCTTTAGTCTATATTCTAGTCTGTAGTCTAGGCTGCTATAGCTTAGTCTATAGCCCATATAGACCATAGTTGATTCTATAGTCTAGACTATAGTTTATTCTATAGTCTAGACTATATTTTTTTCTATTGTCTAGACTATAGTATAGTCCATAGTCTACACAATAGTTTATTCAATAGTCTAGACAATACTTTATACTATAGTCTAGACTGCTGTTTAGTCTATAGTCTAGGCTACAGTCAAGTCTATAATTCTGACTATAGTTTAGTCTATAGTCTATGCTATAGTTAAGTCTATAGTCTAGCCTATAGTTTAGTCTAAAGTATAAAGTATAGCTTGGTCTATAGTCTAAGCTATAGTTTAATATATAATCTAAGCTATAGTTTAGTCTATATTCTAGGCTATAGTTTAGTCTATATTCTAGGCTATAGTTTAGTCTATAGTCTAGACAACATTTTAGTCCATAGTCTAGGCTAAAGTTTAGTTATAGTCTAGGCTACAGCACAGTGGTATAGGAAAAAAAAAAGAGGGAAATAATTCGGTAACTTCTAAACGGTTAATCCGATTTTAATGAAATTTGGTGTGCACAAAGAGGAGGTGTTGTCGAGTTTAGGTTTTGAATTTGGACCTTATAGGCCAACCAGGGGCCCGGCGGGGGGTCCTCAAATTAGGACACCTCGGCTATGTTAAATTTTTAAAACGATCCTATTTCTTCATTTGAGTTCCGATTTAAAAAAAATTTCGTATATAGAATCTCCTCATCGAGCACTATAAAAAATGTCGTCGTAGCAGTAAATTATCTCTTATAGTTTAGGAGATATTCGCATTTGAATATTAAAATTTTAAAATTTTTACCGTCCTTACTTTAGTTTTTTTGATAATAGCAGGTCCAAATATTTCCGATTTTCGCCATTTTTTTTTATTTGCTTAACAACAAGTTTATATACCAAGCAGTGAAAGAATTATGTAAAAATCATGACTGAGTCCAAAGTTATAGGCATTTAAATTTAAAAAATTAAAAAAAGGCGATTTTTTGTCATTTTTTTGGGAAAAAAGTATTTTTTTCTTTTTAAGTTATCTAAAAAGTTTCTAAGAAGATGTATATAGAATTTATACTTTTTGGAAAGCTGACTTTACATAAAATACGATAAATGAAACAAAACCTAAAAATTTTTGATACCGAGGGGACCAGGTCCATCCAAAAAAACCCTATTTTTTATGGAAAATTAAATTTTGAGCAAAAATTCTGAAATCGCATAGTCGATATCAAATTATAGTGACCTGTTTTATATGACCCAATAAGTTCTTAATCATTTTGTAACGGGTTTCGATAACCCCGCCCCTGGTATGGATATAATAGGCAAAAAACCAAAAAATCCCATTTTTGGGATTTTTTAAAACTTTTTTGGGAATTCCGGGATTTCTAATAAGAAAATTCGAAATTTTTATTTAATTTTGGATTTTGAGTAAAAAAATCTACCTAACTGTAAAATTTCATCAAAAAATATTCATAAATAAAATTTTTATTGCAATTTGAAAAATTTGTATCTTCGCAAAAACTGAATAAAAAACATTTTTTAATTTTTTTTAAAAAAAGTATTCCGCGAATTTTTTAATTTTCAAAAATTATATACAGTTTTGAAAAATAGACAAAATTACCTTTCCATTGATATATAACATGCCTACCTAATGTTTTTTAAGTGACAAATTAATTAGGGAAAACTCAACATCTTTTAGAAAATTTGCCTAGCACTATTATTTTCATCCATAAGGTTAACTCTTAAATTTGTTACATATATGGATGAAAATAATAGTGCTAGGTAAATTTTCTAAAAGATGTTGAGTTTTCCCTAATTAATTTGTCACTTATAAAACATTAGGTAGGCATGTTATATATCAATGGAAAGGTAATTTTGTCTATTTTTCAAAACTGTATATAATTTTTGAAAATTAAAAAATTCGCGGAATACTTTTTTTAAAAAAAATTAAAAAATGTTTTTTATTCAGTTTTTGCGAAGATACAAATTTTTCAAATTGCAATAAAAATTTTATTTATGAATATTTTTTGATGAAATTTTACAGTTAGGTAGATTTTTTTACTCAAAATCCAAAATTAAATAAAAATTTCGAATTTTCTTATTAGAAATCCCGGAATTCCCAAAAAAGTTTTAAAAAATCCCAAAAATGGGATTTTTTGGTTTTTTGCCTATTATATCCATACCAGGGGCGGGGTTATCGAAACCCGTTACAAAATGATTAAGAACTTATTGGGTCATATAAAACAGGTCACTATAATTTGATATCGACTATGCGATTTGAGAATTTTTGCTCAAAATTTAATTTTCCATAAAAAATAGGGTTTTTTTGGATGGACCTGGTCCCCTCGGTATCAAAAATTTTTAGGTTTTGTTTCATTTATCGTATTTTATGTAAAGTCAGCTTTCCAAAAAGTATAAATTCTATATACATCTTCTTAGAAACTTTTTAGATAACTTAAAAAGAAAAAGATACTTTTTTCCCAAAAAAATGACAAAAAATCGCCTTTTTTTAATTTTTTAAATTTAAATGCCTATAACTTTGGACTCAGTCATGATTTTTACATAATTCTTTCACTGCTTGGTATATAAACTTGTTGTTAAGCAAATAAAAAAAAATGGCGAAAATCGGAAATATTTGGACCTGCTATTATCAAAAAAACTAAAGTAAGGACGGTAAAAATTTTAAAATTTTAATATTCAAATGCGAATATCTTCTAAACTATAAGAGATAATTTACTGCTACGACGACATTTTTTATAGTGCTCGATGAGGAGATTCTATATACGAAATTTTTTTTAAATCGGAACTCAAATGAAGAAATAGGATCGTTTTAAAAATTTAACATAGCCGAGGTGTCCTAATTTGTGGACCCCCCGCCGGGCCCCTGGTTGGCCTATAAG